GGGGGGGGGGGGGGGGGCACGGTGTCCCCTCGGTGGGCTCGGAGGGGAGCTGGAGCTACCTGCCACCCCCAGCCCATGGGCAGGAACGGATCTCCCTGGGGGTTTGTGCCCCTCTCCTGGTCTCGGCTTTTCCGCAGCTCCCAGCCTGGTCAGATGCCGTGCCGTGACCCTGTTGTGCTGGGATTTTGGCACAAAGTGGGGCTTGGTGTTTGGCCACCCCCATTTCTTGCCGCTTGGGCAGCACCTGAGGGGCCAGGGCTGTCGGCAGAGTCTTTGTGTCCCGGCAGCTGGTTTCCATCAGGGATGGATCCTGATTTCCATCAGGGATGTGCAGCCCGTGTGGGGGCGATGCCAAGGGGTATCCAGGAGCACAGCCCTTCTCGCTCACCCCATCCTCCTGTGCCCACGTCCTCCTTGTCCCCATGTCCCCCCCCTGTGCCGAGTTGTCTTTGGCAGCCCCGGGGCGTTGGGTCTCTGGCTGCGCGGCGGCGTGGAGCCGAGCCTCGGGGTGCTTCGTCAGGCCTGGCACGGTTCTGGTGGCGAGATGTGACGCTGCGGGGCTGGGTCGGGCACCCTTGGACTGTGTGTCCCCGTCGCTCGTGTCCTCCCAGCCCCGCCGTGACCTGGGGAGCGGGCGCTTGAGGTTCCGCTGCACTCGGGAGGTGGGGAGGGATGAGGACACGGAGATGGGGTGCCTTGGAAGGGTCTTGGGTTGGGGCAAGGCTGGGTTTCTCTCCCTGTGCTGAGGGGCAGCTCTCGGGGTGCTTTGGGACCGGCAGCCCCTCGCTGCCCCCGGGGTGAGAAGGGACGTGGCCGGGACGTCCCGTCCGACCGACGCACAGTTGTCCCCGAGCTGGGGCAGGGGCTGATGGATGCGATTTCTCCTCCTCCTCCTTTTTCTTCAGCTTCTCTCCTCCAGATCCACTAATTTAACCCTTTCCAGAAGGGAGCGGCAGCGGCTCAGCAGGTAAATCTTTGTTGGTGTGAACCAAATCTGTGTTTTCTCGACTCGGCCAGCGAGGTGGGCGCCGTGACCCCTCGCATCCACATCCACATCGGTGATGGTGCGGAGTGGCACCTCCTGTCTGGCATCTGTGGCTTCTCTCCTCCTTGCCCACGTGGCTACCAAAAGGCGGCATGGCCTGGCGGGGTTGTGCCATTGTGTCCTGCCCTGGGAGGGACCGGCTCCAAAAAGGGCTGTGGGGCATCCCCTGCGGTAGTGTGAGCTGGCAAAAAGAGGAGTGGTGATAATGGAAACCACTGGGGAAGGAAAAGGGAGATAGGGAGCGGGGACGGCTGGGTGGTGGGGTTGCCCTGGCTCTTGTCGGCACCGTGTTGGTGTCACTCCCGGCTTTGGAGGTGCTTTTCCAGGAGTTTCTGCCCCAAGGAGGCCGGGAGGGTGATGGTGGCGGGGGCAGCAGGGAGCCCCGGGTGCTGCTCTCCCCTCCCACACCACATCCCTCTGGTGGGACGGGGCCGGCCCCGGCTCCTCTCTCGGGCTCCGCTTCCCCGTCTGCGACACACAGGGACCGTTGGCAGCTTTGGGAAGGGCTGGGGGGAGTTGCTGTTTATGGAAGAGTCCGGGATGTGGGAAGGGGAGATCCAGGGAAGGATGGAGCATGGGTCCCCCCTCCCTGCCAGAGCGCGGCAGGGCGTTTGGGCGCTCGGAGGATGCGCAGGGAGACCAGAGGCCTGGGGATTCTGAGCATCTCTAAGCTTGCAGTGGGTTTCTGGGGCTGCCACGAATTCTCTTGTGTTTCTGATCCCTGGGCTGCTGCTGGGCTGTCCTCTGCCTGTGATGCCACCTCCTTTGGGGCTGGCCTGGCTGCCTCCTCCCGCCTCTCCGGGTCGTGGCAGAGCCAGAGACTCCTGGAGTGGGTGGCAGAGATTGATCCGGTGGCTGAAGCATCTGCCTGCGCATCTTGGCTCAGGCACTGGCTTCCTCCTCTCTGGCCCGAGGTGAGGAGCCCGGCCTCCTGCCTCACTTCTCCTGGGGTCTGGAGAAGAAAGGGAGGTGCGATGTGGCTGCTGGGATGAATTAATTACAGTTTGCAGAGAGGTGGGAAGAGGTGCTCAGCAAGAGGGGAGACGAGATGCGCTGGAGCTGCAAGGTGTTCTCCTCCATGTCTGGCCCCGGTCCTGGCCCAGTCCTGGCTCTGGTCCTGGCTCTGGTCCTGGATCCTCCAGTGCCCTTCGCCTGGAAGGAAGGGCACCGGGAATGCTGTAACACCGGGTCTGAGGCCAGGAGGTGCTGGAGAGGAGGAAGGACAACATCTTGCTGCAGCGGGTGGTGTGATCCAGGGGGCTGGGTGTGAAGTGTCCGCCAGCTCCTGGGCTGCCATGGGCACAATCCTTCTGGTTGATGCCATCAAAGGCTCCTCCAGAAAGGTTCTCTTTGTCCTTTCTTGGGTTTTCATGGCCGGGCACTGGAAGCGCCGAGCTCCTCGGGCAAATGGAGATGTGCTTTGGCCAAGGGGATCAGCTGGCTTTGTCCTCCTCAGGTGGAGGAGGCCACCTTCTGTCGAGGCAGGTGCTGGCCAGGTCACGCTGGGCATCAGCCAGTGGATGAGCTGCCTCGGGTCTCTTATCTCTTGCCCGGCTGACAACAGGAGCCTGGAGGGTTCCCAGCCTGTGCTGTACTGGTTTTCATGGCTCTTGTGGTAGTTGCAGCCCTGATCTGACCAGGGCTCCTGGCAGAAGGTGGAGTCCTCTTTGGTGGTGCCAAGAGAGAACATTTTAGGGAGAACAGCCGCGTTTCCCACAGTGCTGCCTCCATCGCCTCATTATCCCAGGGACAATCCTTTGGGATTCCGTTTCTTGTCCAAAATGGTTGATTTCTGAGCCCGAGGGCAGGTGGGATGGGTCCATCCCGGGCTCTGCAGGTATGCGAGGGTTTGAGGGGAGCCTCCAGCTCGCACCCCTCCGTCGGTGCCGTCTCCGCGGGCAGAGCTGGGTGGTGGCACGAGGGGCTGTGACACGGTGGGGTTGTGTGTGCTTGAGACCTCTGGAGTGAGGGTGTTTCCTTGCAGCTGAGCATCACAGTGACAGGTCATGGGGATGGGTTTGGGCCCACGGGGACTCGGAGCTCTGCCAAAGAGCTGTAACGTGGCAACCGAGCTGTGTTGAGAAGGGATCTGTTGGGGCTGCAGCACCCCTGGGTCTGTCCTCCTCCATCACCCCCCTGGTCTTAAGGGTGTTTTCTTTTGGACCTGAAAAGTGCTTCTAAAGAAGCACTTGTTTATAGAACTTGTAGCAAAGTCTGGTACCTTGTTTTCCTCCTCCCTCATCATTAATTTGGTGTGTCCAGAGAAGAAACACGGAGCTGGTGAAGGGTCTGGAGCACAAGTCTTGTGAGGAGAGGCTGAGGGAGCTGGGGGTGTTCAGCCTGGAGAAAAGGAGGCTGAGGGGAGACCTTCTTGCTCTCTCCAACTCCCTGAAAGGAGGGTGTAGCCGGGGGGGGTTGGTCTCCTCTCCCAAGGAACAGGCGATGGGACAAGAGGAAATGGCCTCAAGTTGCACCAGGGGAGGTTTAGGGTGGATATTGGGAACAATGTCTTCATGGAAAGTGTTGTGAAGCCTTGGAATGGGCTGCCCAGGGCAGTGGTGGAGTCACCATCCCTGGAAGATTCAAAAGCTGGTGCTGAGGGACGTGGGTCAGTGGTGGTTTGGGCAGGGTTGGGTTGATGGTTGGACTCGATGGTCTAAAGGTCCCTTCCAACCATAATGATTCCATTATTTTAATACTGTGTGCCGGCCCTTGGCAAGGTAAAACATGGGAATGGCAACCACTGCTGCTCGGTTGAGGTGAGATGCTTGATCCAGCAATGAGGACTCCCCTGTGGGGGGGCTCACTGGCAATGCCGAGGGGCCACGTGTCCTCCCCACAGCCCCGTTCCATGGGGTTGTGCTGACCCTGGAGGGATGGAGCCGTGTGGGAGGGCGTTATCAAGTGTGCTTGGGTGGAGGCTGGTGGAGACTCACCTGGAATATCTCATACTGGTGCGGATCATCCCCCCAGCTGCAGGTTACTGGTTCAACCACCTCTGTCGTGGGGTTTGAGTACGGCTGGCTCTTGGGGGGGGCTTTGGGGGGCTCGGTCGTAGGTGTCTGCATCTCCCCGAGCACGGGCAGGAGCAGCCTCAGCTCGGGGACGTGGGTGTGATGGGGGACAGGGGTTGTACTGGGGAGGTGGTGTCTCTTCCCCGGTTCTGGCTGTTGCAGACCCAAAGCTCACTGTACCGTGTGCCTTTAAACCCTGGAATGGTTTGGGGTGGAAGGGACCTTGAAGATCCTCCAGTTCCACCCCCTGCCCTGGGCGGGGACACCTCGAAACGCTTGACTGAATCCCATCCCGGGAACATTTCCTGAATTGGGGGCTTTTGGGACCTGCAAGTCCCCGTGGCCAAGGGGTGGCTTTAGGTGGCATTTGGGACTGGGGACAGGGGCAGGACAGGTTGGTCCCTGGGGGGTCCATGGTGCAGCCCCAGCTCTGTTCCCACATCACCTGGTGGTCCCACTGCTGGAGGAGGCTCCTGGCACTGAGCGGTGCCAGCCCGGGTCCTGGTGCAGCCGCTGGCACGTGGCCTCGGGCGAGTGATGGGGGGCTCTGCGGGTGGGCAGGGAGGGGAGCCATACCCCCCCCTCCCCATGGCCCCAGACCTGCCGCCAGCCCCTTTTACACCAGGATTGGAAAAACCAGCTCCCACCTGTGGTGCGTTTCGCTGTGCCACCGGCAACCCCGGCATCGGCACGGTGTCCCTGGCAGCCACAGGTCGTGTGTGTTGTTCCTGCCCTGCTTGTTTGAGGAGGGTGGAGGTGGCCAAGCCGGGCACCCCTGTAATTTTTAACCCAGATTTCTGGCTTTGCCCCTAGGAAGGGCTCTCCAGGAGCAGCCGGATAAACTCCTTCTCCATTTTGTGCTGCCATAGCATCAGTTCGGTCCCTCCGGTGGAAGGGGCTGTGCTGCGTCCTCCTCCTGTGGGACGTGGCTCCTGAGCATCCCCTGTTTGCAGCTCCTGGCAGCTGCCAATGCCTTTGGATCTTGAAATTGCCGCTTCCTGCTGTGAAGGGTGAATTTTGGCCCCTGGGTGTGAGGTTGGCATCCACGGGAGGCACCGGCAGAGCCCCGCAGTGGCTCCCAGCCCGCCTGCCCTTGCCCACTGCCACCCTGCTTGTCCCCCTTTGCCAGGGGAGAGCTTGGAGCAGGTGCCAGAGAAACTTAGGGAGGGAAACGTGGGAGTCACGGACACCTCACTCCAGACACCCCCGCAGGAACTGGCCCCTGCTAAAAAAACCTTCACCTGGAATGGTTGCTGGTTCTGCCCTGCTTCGGTGACGGGGCTGTTGCTTTCCCCACCATTTGCCCCCAGCCATAAATACACCTTCCAGTTGTTGTCCTAAATTAGGAAAAGCCTGGACAAACCCTTCTCCACCCACATTCCTCTTCTGTGTGTCCCCCCACAGCTGCTCAGCAGCTTCCCCGGCTCCAGGAACGGGGCAGCTCCGTGTCCCCAGCCCTGCCTCTGCTGCCCGAGCCCAGCTGGTCACACCAAGGGGCGAATTTGGGCTCATCCCGCTGCCCGAAGCCGGGAGGGCATCCCTGGGGTGATGCTCAGAGGTGTTTCAGCCTGACTTGTATGAAATCCAGAGGGTTTTTCCCCCTTAGAAGGGAGATCTCGGCAGGTCTCCTGCTTCCCCAGCTCTATCTGGCTACTTGCTCCCCTCCAACCTGCCCCTTGCCACCCTGGCACCTCCGTGGGCAGCAGGCAGGGCATGGGGAGAGCTGCGGGGGCCACAGGGCAGCCTGGAGCCAGGCAGGGGCTGCCAAGGCTGGAGCAAACTGGTTTCAAGGTTTGTTGGGGTTTTTTTTGGAGGAAGTCTTCCAGAGAGACTGGTGTCATCACCCCTCGGCTCCCTGGCTGTGGAAGGGGTTAGTGTTCCCAAAAAGCCGGGCCGTGCCACCCAGGGCAGCCGCTGCTCGCTTATCTTGACTGGTTTTATACTTCTTTTTACTGGTGATGCTGGTAAAGGCGCCGCACTCGGGTCTCGGGGACCAGCCTGGCCCCGTGGGGCTCAGCTCTGCGGCTGCTGCCGAGCGCGGGGGGGTTTCCCTCTTGGGACAGACCCCAGTCCCTGCCACATCCCGGGGCTCTCCCTTCTCCAGCCCTGCCCTTCCTCAGGGAGTGTCTGGGAGGAGGAGGAGGAGGAGGAGCGCCCGGAGGTGGCAGCGGGGCACTGGCTGTGTCTGTCAGGAGCCGGGCTCTCCCGCCGCCGGGGGGATATTTATCTCCGTGGATCCACATCATCCAGGGATGATTTTGGGGCTCCTCGGGCACCCTCCATCCCTGGGGGCTCCCAGCTTTGCTCTGGGTGCCCTGCGAAGCTCCGGGGGTGGGTGGGAGGTGGGGGGACAAGGAGGGGGGTGGTCACTTGACCTCTTGCGCCGGGGCTGGGATCCCGGTGCGATGCGCCTGCCTTATGTGAATTTAATTAAGTGCAGATGCAATTAGCAGGGCTGGGGGTTGTGGGGGGGTTCTGCTCTTGCAGCTCCTCCGTGGAGCCTTTTGCTGGGCAAATGCTGCGGGGACTCACTGGCCGGAGCCCAGCTGGCCCACGGGGGGGAAGGGGCAGGGACTTGCCCGGGGTTCTGGGGGGCAGAGGCAGAGCTGGCAGCAGAGCCCCCCCCCATCTCCTGCACCCCAGCCCGGGCTCTGCCTCCGGAATGACATTCCTCGTGCCAGGGAAGCAGGTCTTTCCAGAACCGGGAGAGCCACTGCCCCGGGGTCCCGTCCCTCGGGGACCCCTGGGTCCCCCACCCCTGGGTCCCCCGTCCCTCTGGGGCCGTCGCTGCCACTTTTGGGGGGTAGTTTCTTGGGTTTAGCTCCCTCCTGAGAGGTGTCAACAAGCCAATTGGATCCAAACAAGCCTTTTCCTTCCTTGCCATCTTCAGTGTCTTTTTTTTTTTTTTCCCCTCTTGCACCTCCTTGAACACCTTTTGAGCAAACCCGGCTTCCCATCCCCTCGATGGCCCAGAAAGTGTCCCCGTGGCCACCTGCCCTGGCCCCTCTTGGCCCAGGTGTTGTCCCAGCCCTCGGGAGCTGGGCTGTTGGCTGTGTCCCACAGGTCCTTGGTCCCCGCTGTGGTGTGGAGGGGGGGCTGGCAGAGGGTCAGGCTGGTCCCAGGAGCCTGGTGTGTCTTGGATGAGCCAGTGCAGCCCCCCAACGCCACCCTGTGACCCCCCCTCTGCTGCCTTTGAGGTGGGAGGGAACCCTCTCCCCATGGATGTCTGTGCTGCAGGTGCAGAACCAAAGGGACCTGCTGGTCCTGCACCTCCCCATCCTGCCTGGGCAGGGGGTCCCCACGAGGTCTCAGCTTTGACGTGTCATTTTTCTTCCCCCCCCCACGTCTTACCCTGCAGGATGCAAAATCAAGGCCCTACGTGCCAAGACCAACACGTACATCAAGACGCCGGTCAGGGGCGAGGAGCCCGTTTTCATCGTGACTGGGAGGAAGGAGGACGTGGAGATGGCGAAAAGGGAGATCCTCTCGGCCGCCGAGCACTTCTCCATGATCCGGGCCACGCGCAACAAAGCCAACGGGCTGACGGGAGCCATGCAGGGACCCCCCAACCTGCCGGGCCAGACCACCATCCAGGTGAGGGTCCCCTACCGCGTGGTGGGGCTGGTGGTGGGACCCAAGGGAGCCACCATCAAGCGGATCCAGCAGCAGACGCACACCTACATCGTGACCCCCAGCCGGGACAAGGAGCCCGTCTTCGAGGTGACGGGGATGCCGGAGAACGTGGACCGGGCCAGGGAGGAGATTGAGGCCCACATCACCATGCGGACAGGCTCCTTCATTGACGTCAACACCGACAACGACTTCCACTCCAACGGCACCGACGTCTGCCTCGACCTGCAGGGCAGCACGGCCAGCCTGTGGGCCAAAGCCCCCCACCCAGCTCGCCGGCCCACCGCCTCCCTGCGCAACGACAGCCTCAGCTCCCTGGGCAGCACCTCCACCGAGTCCTACTACAGCGGGCGGGTGGCCGACGCCAGCCCCACCAGCCCCTACAGCACCAGCAGCGGCTTCACCTTCAGCGAGCCCCCGGCCCCGCTGGGCTCGGAGGAGTGCGACTTCGGCTTCGACTTCTTGGCCCTCGACCTCACCACCCCCACCACCACCATCTGGTCGCCCTTCGAGCGCTCGGGCAACCCTTTGCAAGCCTTCAGCAGCTGCTCCTCCATCAGCGGCTCGCAGAGACGCAACAGCGGGGCGGCCACCCCGCGCCACTCGCCCACCCTCCCCGAGAGCGGGGTGGCCCTGGACCACCCTTTAGCCCGCCGCATCCAGAGCGACCCCGTCAGCACCTTGTCCTGGTTGCCCACCCAAGGTTCGCTCTCCTCCTTCTCCAACAGCACCGGCTACTCCTCCTCCTCCTCCCTGCCCGGCAGCGTCTCGGCCGCGTCGGGCTCACCCACCGACTCCAGCAGCTCCGAGGGGCACCGCAAGAGCTCCCGCGAGTGCATGGTGTGCTTCGAGAGCGAGGTCATCGCCGCCCTGGTGCCCTGCGGCCACAACCTCTTCTGCATGGAGTGCGCCATGCGCATCTGCGGCAAGGCCGAGCCCGAGTGTCCCGCTTGCCACACTCCCGCCACGCAAGCCATCCACATCTTCTCCTAGCCGGGTCCTGGTGGCCACGGGGAAGGGGGGAAGGTGGGAGGGCAGCCAGCCCTCCCCTCCGCTCCCCCCTTCCCCCACACCGTTCCCCCCCACCCCCACTATGCTTTTTAGGGACTTTAAAACTGTTTAAAAAATCAAACTTTTAATTTAATAACGGATCCGATGGGCGCAGGGGGTGGTGGGGGGGGGAAGGAAGAGGCTGCTGCTTGCTGGCTGGAGACGGAGGGGCGGGAGGGTGGCCGAAATCCAGGGGGTCGGGGAGGGGTGGGGGGGAAGGGGGCCGATGAAGACAACGAGGAAGAAGGGGGTGAAACTGCAGAGAGGAGGAAAACTCCGATGTTTACAGAATAGCTTTAACTCTTCACCCGGCGGCTGGGAGGAAGGAAGCCCAGCTGTTCTTCAACCAGTCCTTCCCAAATAACAGTATTCAGTTTGCAAAGTTAAATAAACAGAAAGAAAAGGTCCGGTTGCACTTTTTATTTTAGGACACGCAAGGGTTGTCTTTTATTTTTTTAAAATCATTCTATTATTATTATAATTTTTTTGTTGTCGTTCTTTTTGTATGTAGTTATTTTTTTGGATGATTCTTGACGGTTCTATAAATATATATATATATTATTTTTTTTTTGTAACGCAGGTCTATCTTCTATTTTGCCAATGTGAAAACTGCCCAAAAAACGCGTGACAAGAGGTGGGGGGTGGTGG